CCCATTAGCCAAAGCATGGTAAGCAAATATTGAGTCTAAATACCGTAACTTTGGACATGTTCGTGATCTTCCTAAATCTGGTCGACCGTCAAAATCAGTAGATGATGAGCTTAATGTTATACAAAAAAATCATCACTCAACACTTAACCAGTTGGCTTCTGATTTCAATATGGCAGCGTCCACAGTTCACAAAATTATGAAAAAAGCAAAGTATCATCGTTATAAGGTATGCCCTGTTCATGAGCTATCTGAAGACGACTTTGATCGGCGAAATCAATTCTGCGAGCAAATGCAAGAGCTATGCAATAATGATAATAATTTCGTAAAAACGTAATTTTTTCTGACGAGGCTACGTTTGTTTTGAACGGCCATGTCAATATACAAAACTGCCGTTATTGGGCTACCGAGAATCCCCGATGGATGATGGAGTATCACACTCAAAGTCCCCAAAAAATAAATGTGTGGTGTGGCGTAGTCGACGGAAGAATTCTGGATCCCTATTTCTTTGACGTCAACCTAACTGGTGCAAGATATTTGGATTTTCTTCGAAACGACACCTGTCCGTGCTTATTTAGATGAGCTGTTCCCGAATCGTTGGATAGGGAGAAGGAGCCCGATTGAGTGGCCAGCCAGATCGCCTGATTTGACACCCCTAGATTATTTCTTGTGGGGATACTTAAAAAGCAAAGGTAAAGGTAAATTAACCGGTTACTAGACCGGTTAATTTAGAAGATTTAAAAGCAAGAATTCGTCACGAGATACATCGTATACCTCCTGAAGTTATTGATAATGTCCAAAAAAAATTATTAATCGTCTTGGCTACTGTCAGGCAGCCAACAGTGCACAATTTGAACATTTAATTTAGTCGATTTTTACATAATCATTATCATTTTCAGTATTGTGAAAATTAAATTTTAAAATCTTCAAACATTTTCTTGAAATTTTTGTTATGTAACACCATAATTCATTATCTGTGTAAGTAGAATGACACGCTCTTTCAAATGGCATGGTCAAAATTGGGGGTTGCCATTTAAAAAAATTGTCGATGACGTCATATCTCGAACAACTATGACGTCACAAATATGGGTCGTATGTCAAAGTGCCTTTTTTAAAAACAAAATCGATTTTTTCGAAAACTTCTCAATTTAAAAAATTATGAATTTATTCGTTACTTTTCGAAAGCACTGTAGATACATTTTCTATAACTTATGTTTTTATAACACTTTGTTTTATGAAGAATGTTTGCAAATTCCATTCCAAATATTAAATCCCGGGCGTGAAAAAATACTGTATTTTTATTTCTTTATTTAGGTATTTATTCTTCCTAAAAAAACACAACGAAAAATTCATTGTAAAAAGAAAAACTGACACTGACTACATCTGCTTTGACTATAATATTTTTTCATGCCGCTTTCATAAAGCGAGGCCGAAACTGAATTAATTTTTATCCAATTCGGCCCAAACTGGGTGCAGCGTCATGCAAGTGCGTGAAATCCAATCTAAGTGCAACGTCACCTCTCCCAAATCATTTCACACCTGTTAAATCACTCCACTCTCTGAAATAGATGTGTATTGATTCGCATGGCAGTTAAGTTGAAACAAAAATAAAACCAGGACAAATTTGATAAAATTATATTAAATAATAATACAAAATGGCTTACACGTCAAAATAATATGGTAATTAAATAAAAAATAAATAAAACAGTAATGCACGGCATTTGCAGAGATATTCGATTACAAGCAGTTTGAAAAAAATGTGTTACAACGTTGACAGTTGATAGTATCGTAACATGTTACCAAAATTGTCCATTTTCGTTGAATAGATATCTGGATATTAGTCAGCATTCTTTTGAACAACCGTGCGAGAATACCTACTTTTGCATAATTGAGTAGAAAAATATATTCTTTTCTTTGCTCCAGCATTTAATAATAGCATTTTCAGCATACAAACTATCAATCGTCACTTTTGTAGCACGTTCCATACGCTTCGCACTGTAATTTCTGAAAGGGAATCGATTTTCCTTTGAAATTCTACAGCCTTGTAAAATAATGCACATTTAACAAGTTCCGATTGTACCCCGAAACGCAAGCCGAAAGAAAACACGTGGAAATTTCAGCGTTAATCTCGAATAAAATCTACTACATAGCGTTTCAATTTCGGTCGCAACGCAAACGCAACCACAAATACAGCATGCCAAGAAAAATCGATATTTGCTAAACAGGCACGCGGTTTGTCACAAAACTCTGCGGTCTGTTGGTGTTTGGGTAGTTTCTAGCTAACCGATGAGTAAAATTCAATCGCTTATTAGTGCTCAAGTTGATGGCGTTTCTCCTTGAATTTTGTCATAAAAATGTCAAACTTGAGGTGACAAAGTGGAAACAAAGGCGAATAACGAATAATTTTAATTAATTTTGCCAATACCTCCAAAAATAATCGACATACGGTGTTGAAATTTGATAGGCACGTATTTTGAGACATCCTGATCATACCGGTTTGGTTTGTTTTGAAGTAACTTTTACAGGGCGTTTGTTATATTGTAACTCAGAAATATTTTAAGTAATTTTTTTTCTTGAGGTTATCATTTTGAGTCTCTGAATACAGTTTTCTCACATACCTTTTAATTTATCACAAAAATGTATTCTTGTTAGAAATTGGAGAAGTTTTATTTTTTGTTCATTTAAACATGTCGATTTCTTTTGGAAATATCGGCGAAATTTCTTTAAAAAGAGCCATAGATTCATAGTTCTGGGAGAAGTTACCCATATAGAGTTCCAGTTCCATTGTAAAAATGGTATAGCAGTTTTAGGAAGCTTATGGATATAAATCTATTGTTTAACTCCGTGAATATTGTATAATATTCTACAGAGTTCTGTATATCCACAAAGTTTGGTATTTAGAAAAATAAGTCATGGGCTCTACGAAAATTATGAAAAATTTCAGTTCAGAATATTTTCTCAATAGCAGCCAATATGTTAATAAATAGTCACTGGTGTAGTCTTTCCGATATCAATTGAAGAACCAACAGATTGATAGTATGTACCAGGTTTGGTCGCTGACGCAGTAACTCGGCATTGAAATATTTGAAAAACTTGTTCTCATATTTATTTAGCCATACCCATGTACAGGTCTTGTCGAACTAAACGTGGATATGGTACAAATGTATACGCTCAGTTGAAGAATGCGAGCGCGGGCAAAGGAAAACGATTACAGTTGCATTGGGCTACTGGGCAATAAATCACAGCAGATGACAAGTGGTTGATAAATTGCCCAGCAGTGCAGTGCAGCAATGTGGAATTTGGTGTGATTCAGGTAATTTTAATTTATTATAGGCACCTTCTATCAATAATTCATATTATAATTGCGAAAGGGAGAAATAAGAGGGATATTTTGTTTACTAATATTATCACAACATGGCATTTTGGAGACCTTTTGAAGCGGAACAAAACGGAAGTTACCATCAATACAATAAAACTATTTGAAGACATAAATAATTAAAATTGGCCAAATGAACATATAATAGAAATTTTCTACACATTATGTACAAATTATTATAATTTTTTACCTTTAGCAAAAAATTTTTTTAGGGACGCCTATAAAACTCATTAAATTTTATTACCAGACGTTTTTTTGCATGTTCAACTGACTTCGGAAAGACTACAACAAAACAATGTGTGTTAAATTTAATTGATATAAAAAAGAATACGGTTTTATCAGCTGTATGTAACAACATTATTTCCTTTCATTAGATTAGACGCCTGATTTTAAAGAAATTTGTTTCCCGTGCACGTGCACAAGATGCACAGGGTCGGCTTACATCTATGGTTAATTCTCTTTAGTAATTTTCTCGAAAACAGAACTATTTAGATTAGACCATCTATTGCCTATAAAAAGTTGCTTAATTTCGTGCCATTTATTACCCTTTTCAAAAACGATGTTATTTTAGAACTGTATGTAAACAGGGTGATTCACAAATAGGGACCAAAAATGAAACCTCGTATTCTTTGGTGAATTATGAAGGGAGTCTTACCTCACCTAGTTTTTCTTCTAACTGCTCAGAATGTCAAAGTTGCTATTGCAGCTTACTATGTAATTTTAAAAAGCATTATATTCCAATATCGAAGTGTGTTGTCAGTTCGTTTTTTAAGTTTCACTCAAAATCAGGCTTTTTTCGAAAAACATAAGAGAGTAGTAATAAATAAATAAATATCTTTGTTGTTACCGTAAAACAGTGGCGTTCTATTTTATTTAGAAAAATATGACACCGAGACCCTGTATCTCCGCCACTGGAGCATGTAAATTTTAGGAAAAGCCCTCAGATTTTGGACAATGTTTACATAAATACATGTGCCGAATTTCAAATTATTTCACTTACTAGTTTTCAAATTATTTAAAAAAATTAAAAATAGTTTTTGAAGTTTAACACCCTGTATCTTTTTAACGAAGCGTCCTAGATAAAAACTTTATAGGAAAGACTCCCATTAAAATTCACCCAAGAATACGAGGTTTCATTTTTGGTCACCATTTGTGAATCACCCCGTATTTCCATAGAAGCATCAAGACTTGTTTCTTGCTACCAAGGATTTGTTTATTGCTACTAAGGATTTGTTCATTTTTAATTCAATTGATCTACTTTCTGTGGCACTATTGGTTTAATAAGATTCGCCGCCCTGTTCTTCTAATTTATTTCATGAAACAATACAGCTACTGCCATCTTTTAATACTTATTTAAACTAATTAGTGTCTCAACTAGTTGCCTATAAGAATTAGAACTCTATATGGGTAACTTATCCCCGCATAGGCTACGTAGACTGGATCATTCGATCATCGATTCCAAAATTTTGATGTTAGTGTTCAGAGCTGCTTCAGTTCAAATACCCACGAAAGAATAATTTCTCTACAAAAACTTTCTAGCACTATACAAGTTACAAGCAAATAAATATACATCCATTTACAAAATATACACAGACAGACACACCGAATAAATAGAAAACCATGTTACCGATTTGCAGACGTACTAGTGGTTTCATTGAACGTCACTTTGTGCTTGGGCTTCTTCTTGAACCAGCAGAAGTAGTTGGACCCGTCGGGGGAGTTCTGCGAGGGTACCAAAGCGGGACGGAGCCAGTAGATCTGCTCGTCGCCGTCGTCGTTGGTGGTTATAGAGCCGTTGCTTCTGGATTTCTTTATTAAGGCCGCCTTCTGGATCACGCCCATGATGGCTCGCTTGGGCGACGTCTCGTTGACGCTGTAGGTACGGCCGTTGCCCACCACCAGAAGGGGTTGTTGGGTTAGGTCCTCGGATCTGTGGTTGTTGAGGTGGACGTCGTGGACCAGCCTTAGGGACCGGGATTCTCGGACTGTGGCCATGCCAATCTGGAAAGAAGGAAAGTCAAATCAAACATATTCTCGTCAATAAAAAATGGGTTTCTCCTATAGTCCAGGGAATCAAGGGTTTGGACTGTAAGTAGAAAATAGGTCAAGAAACAAAAGTTATATAGCGCTGATGAGCGTCTTTGCCCAGGGGGTGGAAGCCAATAAACCAAATAATAAACCAATCAATTTTAAGCAAAAAGTACCTTATAAACATTTTTCGATAAGTCCATATTTTCTGAGTTATTGGTGATTGAAAATATACATTTTTTATTAAAGAAGACGTTTTCCACTAGTTTTACTCGAATAACTCGGAAAATAGACATTCTATGAGAAAAAAACATCACGAAGAAAATGACGCTTATAGAAAAAGAAAAAGATTGAGTTTTTCTTTCATTTATGCAAGTGCAATAGATGCTGAGATAGGACTGGTTGAAGATAATTTTATGTCTGCCAGAAACTAAATTGGAAACATTTAACTAAAAAAAAATATTTTTTTTCAAGAAAAATGTACAGAACATTTTGTTAAGTACTAAAAAATCTTTAAAATATACTGGACTTTGTCTTTAGCATAAAAATTAACAGAGTTATGATCAAAATAAAACTGTTAATTTGATTGAAGAAAAAAATTTTATACCAAAAAAAATTATTTTTCAAAATAACTTTAAAAATAAAAAAGATACGGAAAATATTCAAAAGTACAAAAATTTAGATTTTTTTTTTCACAGAATATTTTTGTGTTTTTTTTTTATTTGTGTAAGATAAAAATTCACAGAGATGTCGCTTCTAGAAGTTTGCAGTTTGCAAAATTAAAGGTAATCCTTCTACATTTTACATTTTTTTATGTGCTAAGAATATATTATACAAGTTTAAGCGGTTTAGAATGCATATTTTTGAGCTTACGTTTTGATTGAAAAAAAGAAAATGTTTTTCGCTGCTTGAAGTTTGCAGTTGAGGGCCTGTTTTTCAAACCCTTTAACCTCAAAAATCTCAAAAATAACGCGTTAAAAAATATTTAGTTTTACAGTACTTTTAGCTGTCCAAATTTTCCGTAAAATCGTTTTTGGATCGTCTTAATAGCTTTAAAATTAAGGAAGTTATCGTTTAAAAGAAACAACGGTATCTTACCGCTTCAATTTTCGGAGCATATCAATATTTTAATTATCCACAACTTTAGAGCATTCTATGTACATAGAGTACCTTCACTTTTTCCCTTTTTTAATCTTTTAAAAATTCGGCTTATCATATTTTTTTAAGAAACCCAGTGATCTGATAAACAATATAACGAGCGTTCAATTAAAAACGGGGTCAAGTTGGTTCTGAAAATTTGGACGTAGGGCGTAGCGTATAGCAAATGAACTTAAACGTCATCGGTCAAAGCGCTATATCGCCGCTATCAATTTGAATATTTTCGTTTTAAAAAGCGTTTAAAATGGTGTTTTCTCAAGAACAAAAAGTGTTTATCATAGAGTCCTACTTTAGAAATGGACGCAAGATTGATGGAATATGGAAGTATTCTATTGAGGAATGTTTCATAGAATTTCAAAATCAATTTCCCGGCGTTGTTGAGTACAAAATTTTTCAAAGTGCAGTTCAGCGTTGTGTTAATGTTTTTCGTGAAACGGGCAGTGTAACAAGAAAAGAAGGAAGCGGCCGACCTAAAAAGCGGACTGAAGAATTAAAAGAAAATGTCCAACAAATAATGGAAAATGCGCCAAGAACTTCTGTACGTGTTTTATCAC